GACAGTTACTCTAAGTCCATTTTCAGCCCTCAGGCTAGAAATCGTACCTCTGAAAATGGACTTAGAGTAACTGTCGTTAAACTGAACTCAAAGAATACAAAAGCGGCAAGTTCAGGAATAAAACACAGAACAGAACTTTAAGTCCAGTTTAAACCCCCGGGCTAGAAATCCTACCACTGTTAATCAGCCACATTATTTGGTCAAACAGTTTTTCTTAATCATTCTGAAACTGCGTTTATCTGATACGTTGATAAATTATTTCAAAGGGGTTTTGATAGTTCAAATCACTTCACTTTTACCCTAAGAAATAGAAATGACTAGGGATGACCTTCAGATAGTGTTTAGCATCTGTACCCAATCTGACAATAATGCGTTCATCAAGTACCTATGGAGTAAATCACATACAGGCAAATTTAAGCTGAATGTCAGACTGGAAAATACATTTACTATAGTAACTGAAATATCACTCTGTGTAGGTATTTTGTCATCTATTTAAGAAAAAACTAAAAAGAATGGAAATCATACGACAGTGACTTAAGTCTTTCTTCAAAGTGCATGCAAGTCCTTTGCAGTACTTCATTCAGCCAAGTATTTGTTCTCTTCCTCATTCAGTAGAAGGCAGCTTTCAATTTGCTTAGAAGGCAACATCAGAAGGTTAGCATTCATCAAAAACATAGAATTTTATTTTCTTTTCATATTTGTGTATGTTTATTTTAGATAACTGAAACTTCACAGAATTTAACAACAAATAAAGTTTAAAAATTTAATTCTGTACATTAGCTCCGACTATCTCTATTTTACAATCTATAAGGCTCATGCCATAGTTCAGCACCAACAAGATCCACACAAAACTGTTTAAGCAATCTTCTTAGCCATCCTGTGTGACAGTTTTTGTTTGTCGTGGTTGTTTTTAAGGTAAAAGTCCTACTTTCAGACCTTGAAGTGGAATCCCTCTAGTCAGAGTACAAAACTTGGGTTGTACCTTCTTATTTTCATTAAACAGATACAAAAAAAAAAGGAAAAGAACTGTGTTCCACCATTAATTTAGGTTGTCAGTCTATATGTTGAATTTATAACACTGATGCATGAGAAGTAACCTACTAAT